GCAAAGCCGAAGTTCAAATCCGTGAGACTTGCAAAGCCGACCTCCCTTTCAATCGTGAGAGCCAGGCCGAAGAGGCCTACTGGGAAGAGACGAACAGGTGGACGTCCAATTTCGACTTAGGGGCCTATACACGCCTTCTTCTAGATTTCAGGTGCCGGGCCGGACCAGTTTTAAAAAAAAACGATGGGAGCGATGAGTCCGCCCTACTAAAACCCTGCTCCCATTTTTGGGTCCTCTTTTTTCTGAGCCAGGCTTGGGTTTCAGGTCGTGGGATGGAGCGACGGAGAGTTCAGGACTCGCTGAAACCTGGGCTTGCAGAGATTGAGGGACTTGGGATGCGCCTTTAAGGGCGGCATGTCAGCAAAGAGTTGAACACTGCAAGCAATGTGTGGGTTGGATGGCTGGCGGGCTCAGGGGCCACAGTGAAACCCGACACCCCTGAACATGCCAAATTACGTACCCAACTCTTTCAAGCTTCGGGTTCTAAGGGACTGGGAGGGCTTATTTTGTGTCAGAGATTGAGATCAAGGCTCAGAGACCGCAGTGGCCTGTGCCTCACGGCTCCCTAGCGCTAGTATGTTTTCGTTGATGGCCCTGCCCATTCCGATTTTCAACACACGCCCTGGCCATCACCTTCGTCAACGTCTGATGGCATCCACGACCTGATATGAAGACCACATATTCAGTCTATCAGGCCCCTATGGCCACAGATGCCTTATTGACACTAGGACCGCTATTGAAGTGTTCTGCCGGGTAAAGGATGGATCTCGTCACTCTGACAGGAAAGACCCTGCTGTGCAGAATTCTCCACTACGAAAGCCGCTAATGACGCTTAGGGTTTAGGGTTTAGGGTATATGGAGGAACCTGGTGTCAACAGCACTCTGGTTACCTTGAAAGCCGAGCCACCCACCCAGCTACTACCGTTGCTGGCATCAGGAAACTCAAAGAGGCCTGGGAGAATCCAAAGCCCAAGGGCAAGGACAAGGGCAAGGACAAGGGCAAAGGAAAGGGCAAAGGCAAGGGCAAGGCCACCGAGGGAGGGTTTTGGGCTTTTTGTAGAAGGTTTGCTTGTCGGTCTTCCCAACCACCAAGAACAAACGAAATCCCTTTGAATCATATGGCGTCTGAGGCCTTGAGCCACAGAACCCCTCAAAAACCCAAAAACCCTAGTCGCCAGAAGTCTAAGTAAGCCTCAAGGCTTCAGGAAGAGTGGGTGGTTCGGCGTTTGGGTTTGGGCCTTGGGGCTTCGAAGAGAGGTTTCCGGGATGGACCGTAGGGTTTGAGAGATTGCAATCTCTTTCAGCTGGCTCCTTATCCGATGCTAAAGCTTCTGCTCCTGGATGCGAGTAGGGTTTGGCAGTAAGGTGGTTTGGCGTAATATCGAGCTTCTAACTGTCTCCTACTGTCTCCTACTGTTCCTTTACGTGTACTGACTGGTATTTGCAGTCTTGTCTGGGTGGCCCTACAGGCTCAAAGAACCCGGTCTGCGGCTGGGGTTTCGTGTTTGCTGCCACCGTTGTGCTAACCGCGCAATAAGACATCATGGCGAGCAACGTGCAGTCCTGGCTCGCTATACACTTCTCGGAAGCCAATCGCCCCGACCCTTAACCCAATGAGCCCCTTGGCCCTACCTTTCAGTTTGAGCTGAAGCCTAGAAGAAGAGAAGCAGGCTAAAGGCTCGAGACTCCCATCCTTGACACCTCAAGCAGAAAGCCGTCAATGCACCTTCCCAACAACTGCTGGTAGATTCTCCGGATCCAAAACGATGGTCGCCAGGGAAAGAAAGGCTTCAAGCATAAGCATAAGGATGAGGATTGAGGAGGCGCAAGTTTCATGACAAGCGTGTTTCGGGGTTTATAGGACCCTAAACCCTAAACCCCTAAACGCCTAAACCCTAAACCCCTTATAGGACCCATGGATTCCCAAGCCGCCTTGTGCCAAGAGCCACCCCCCAGCTCCCCAAGAAACTGAAAGCGGCCCTCGATTCTGAAAGTCATGTCAGCTAAGGATCCGGTGCTTGCGGCTCCCGGGCCGTTTTGCTGAAGTTTCAAACGAGGGATGCTTGGAGGGTTTTCTCGGAGCCCTGCAAAACAAAACATTTGGCACTTTTGGAGTTTTTAGTTTCCTTCTTTGGCTGTTCTTAGGGTTTAGGATGTAGGGAGGCTTGGCGAGACTTGAGCCCGGTTAGAAAAAGGGCGCTTGTTGCAGAGAGAGAGAGAGAGAGAGACTTGTTTGCTATATGGCTATAGCCCTTTGGCAATCTACGTTCGTTGTTAACACCCCTGCACCCAATAAAACATTGGGTGGGCCTGGCGCCCGGGGGCGCTGACCTGCCCCTATGCCCCGGAGAAAGAGAGAGAGAGAGAGAGAGAGAGAGAGAGAGACAGAGAGAGAAAGAGAGAAAGAGAGAAAGAGAGAGAGAGAGAGAGTTGTTTGCCTGTTTTGCTTCTAGGTATTAGGCTCACAAGCAATACACTTGTTTCGAGCACTCTTTTTCAGCACTCGATTGTTGCGCCCCTCTCTTGGGATCTCTTGTTTGAGCGAACTCCTAAATGCCTAGGACCACCTTACTAGTGAGTGCTTACTGCGGAGGCCTGACTAATGTTGCTTCAATACGGAATTGTACAGGAGAGCCCCACGTCGGCTTGTAGGGAATGCACGGCATGCCCCATAGTAAGCAAACAGCAAATATTTGCAGCGTCCGGGCGACCCTTATCATAGAGGCCCAAGGAAGCACATGGACTGGGTTCAGGACTGAGGGTTCATTGTTTCGGTCTCAGGCTGTCCAGCCGTTTGGGTTTCGGACAGAAGGACTCCTTGCTAGTGACTGCTAGTGTTTGGGTGATGCGCCAGCAAAGATGATCCGTCGCTTTGTGCTTTCTTGGGCCTCTGTTATGCGGATTTGCTTCAGCCACGGTATGTTTCCTTTTTGAGCACTGTCGAGGTACCCTTTCGTGTCCGTAAGAGGCACCGCTCATTCGAAGGGAGCAAGTGTCAATTAAGGGTTTGCTCACTCTAAACCCTGAACCATCTTCCTTTTGCAGCTTCCCCGCATTTTGAAACTGAATCCCTCGCATCAGAACATCGGAACCCAACCCCTGATCTCTAAGTTTCTGAAGATCTGATCATGAAGGACGGAACTCCGTCGGTGAACTCAGAAGCCTCAGTTCTCCAATTCTGAACTCCACAAGATGTAACTGGTAGGTGCAGTAAGCGGCTGAAGCAAACAAATGTTTGTCAATCTGCCAGCCTCTTTGTTCTGGCAGCGGTAGGCCAGGATGCGAGCCGCGAGTCCGCAACAGCCGTCATTGCTTGACTTCTGTTGCACGTAGAATATAAGATGAGGGAACATATGTTGTGTCTGGTTCTGTACTTTTGAAATGTACTACAGTATGCATAACACAACATCGTATACTATGGTATCTTCTACTCTAATATTACATTATTTTATGATGTATTAGTTTCTATCCTACACTATAATATATTACATTCTGTTGTATTATGAGCAACCCGACCCAGAAGCTTCGTCTTTAGGATGTCGGCTTTCTGCCTGCAGGAAGCTGAGAGCCTCTAACGGCATCTACTTAAAGGATCATGGGACTTAGTAAGTAGGGTTATAACTAAGGTAACTATCCCTATATCCACAATTAAGGGTCTTATAACCTTACTTACTAAGTCCCATGATCCTCTAAGTACCTGCTGAATCCCCCAAAAAAAAGCCGTTTGAACACCTGGGGCTCAACGGCCAAGGTTTAGGGTGCGGGTGGCCTTCTGTGGGGCCTGTAGACGTACCTATTCATGTGTGCTTCTGTGGTGCTCTGAAATATGTTTCCTCAGTCTCAGCTTCTATGAACTCGAAGCATCATCATAGCCATAAGAATGAGCGGAGTAACACTAAAACCATAATAGTCTAATCGTCATTATCATAATCATAAGACTTGAAATTAAGCTGGGGCCCTGCACTCGCCAAAAAGCTCAGGATCCCCAACTCCCACGCTTGCGGGAGAAAGAGCTGTGAACAGAAACTGTGGAAGAAGTGCGGTTTAGGGTTTAGGGTCTAGGGTTTAGGGTTTAGGGTGTAGGGTTTGGCGTTTACGGTAGTATTTGCACCTACGCTTACCAGCATGCTCGCCGCAGAAGGAGCATGAATGACAAAGATGAATATTGAAAAAAATATGGCTTAGAGGACTCCAGCAGCTGTGGCTTGGAAGACCCTGGCACTTCCTGGAGACTTGAGGGCCTCGAGCTCCTTGGGTGCGGCAGCCCCCCGGAAATCAGGAATCTAAACCCAGAAAAAAAACCCAAGCCTTCAGCCTCCCTAAACCCAAATCCCTAAACCCTCGTACCAGGAACCTCGCTAGGCACGTCCGAGAGTGAGTGCTGAAACCCGAGGATGTTCCGGGCCTTGGGTTCCCTGGGCTCTTGGCCTCCCGCACCGGCACAGCGCAGCAGGAGGGAGCCGAGACCCACCTGAGCCGAGGAGAAAAAGGGCCGTCCTTGCGGCGTTGGACTTGTTGGCTTTATTATTGCTAGTTTCAGGATTAGCAGTAGTAGTAGTAGTAGTAGTAGTAGTAGTAGTTGTTGTTGTTGTTGTACTAGTACTAGTACTAGTACTATGACAAAGTCTTGCAGGAACGATTATCATTAGTACTGTTGGACCCCGAACAACTTGTAATAATGTTCCCTTATTGTCCCTTTATAACTATATCGTCATCATGTAATATATGGCTTCGAAGAACCAATGTTCTTCCCCTGTCGTCAACTATAAAATCCTCGCGCATTCAGTTCCCTTTCTCCCGGGGCTTCCAAACCCTTTGCCTTACAAGTATGGCAAACATACAGATCTTCCGCAGTAGAGCGGCTGCAAGCCGCATGCGAACCAAAGGATGTAGGGTTTTCAGTGGTTCAGGGCTGAAACCTGTCAGGACCAAAAGCTAGAGCGCCAAGTAGGTATCCAGAGATCTATTTGCAGAGTCCTGGGTAGAGTGGACGACAGCAGGCCGACGTTCACTGCGGTGGTGTCCGTGCTGCAGGCAGACGGCCGTTGGAGGCGTCCAGAAACGCCTGGAAAGCTTCGGGTCTAGGATGAGTTTAGGACTTAACGGAGATCCTTGATTAGAGATTTATGCAAGTGTAGATGCACAACAAGTGACTGAGCGCGACGATGCCCAAGGCGGCGATGATGAAGCTCACGACCAGTAGGACCAGGACGACCAGGACGACTACAACAACCAGAAGACGAAAAAGGCAGTACAACGCCGGAAGACCACTCAGAGGCCACCAGGATACCACCAAGAGACTGTCAGGAAACCACCAAATTGCCTCCCCCCAAGTACTGGCGGAGTTCGGACAAAGGCCAAAGTCCTTGCCCCTGAACGGGCGGGATTCCGGAGGACGCCCAACATTTCTCCCAAATATGCTTTTGGAGGCCAAAAAGTGGTCCATGCTTTAAAATTTAGTTTACAATGAATCTCAGCTGATCCTCTCTGAATAACAAGATGCGAGCACAAAGTGCACACCGAGCCACAGCTGCAGCTGCGTCCCCGAGAACACTTTTCGACCCGCGCCACGTGGCCATCCGAACCAAGTCTTCTTGTTCTCTTTACACTGGCATGGCTGTAATCATGAACCGCCCGAATGTGTTTTTACTGTTTTGTTCTTCAGTCGGATTGGTGAAATGACATGACGATGTACAGGATACACATGATTTCAGGGTAATGGGCTGGTTGGGTGGCCAAAGATTCAGTCTTTGATCTGGTTTCATCGCAAGGCTCAAGATTTACGATTCTGGATTGCCGGCTGGGAAAATCTTAAGCTTCAAAACCCTAACATCCCAATACCCCAGACACAACTTCCGAAATTCCTTAACCCCGAAAGCCCCCAACACTCCAACACCAATCCCAAATAGAATCCGTGGCTTGTACTCTCGCAAGGCTCTCGCTGGGTATCCTGGAGGAGATGCAGGCATCAAACCTGTGCTTGAAAGACCACGGGAGTGGTGTCATTGAGGGTTTGGGGCTGATAAGGACCGTCATGGGCTCAGATAGCTGGGCATTCACTACATTGGCACTCCTTTTTATGTGTTTTTGGGTCTTGGTTACACGCGGAAGAAGGGGGGACGTAGTAAGTGCGGTTCTTCGAGGTCGGGATTTAGGGTCCAGAGTTGCTTCGTAAGTACGGTTTAATCAGATGTGCGCTTTATGGGTTCACGGTTTGGAGTCGGGTCATAGCACGCGATTTGGTGCAAGGCCCGCTCCCGACCCTACTGCCAAAGCCACTGCGGTCTTCCAAGCACTCACGAGGATGCATCCTTGTGTGCGTCAAGGTGTTGAGGACGGAATGATGATAGCCAAACTGCAGTGGTATGACAGCACCAACGGCACGGCCATAACAAGATATATAACATCAATAAATGCTGCGGCTCGTGACAGCGTAAGAAGTACGATTCAAAACCCTCGCAGCAGCTGTCCCAACTGTGATTCCTTCCGTTGTTCAGGGTTTTAGGCCTTGCGCCGTGCACCCTACGAGACATATTGTAGGGCAAGTCCCGGCGTCACAGCTAGTACAAGTTCAGGAAGTAGGCATCTTCAGGACCGACAACCTTGACAACCTTTCGGTAAGATCTTCCCTATCTACTTTGTCTCGCAAGCCTCGAACTTCGACCCGAACAGTGTGCCAGTAGCACTGAAGATTAAGGCCCGCTGTCTGGACCCACAAAGGCTCACAAGATGCAATGGACCCTCATTTGGAGAGCCCCCTACACGAGGGCCCCTACTCCGACGCATGGTCGTATGCGGTCTCCCAAAGATTCACCAAATCGGTTAGTAGTAATCCCGGGTTGTTGGTCCCTATGTCATAGAACCGGCATAGTTTCACATACTTTGGTATGATGGTGCTGGCTCTGAAGGAACCTCGCCAATCGCAAAACTAAGGCGCGTGCGCTTTGTGTTGCTGCTCGCACCGGTGACTAGTCTTGCCTCTAGATCCTTACCGTGGATACGGACACGACGACGACAAATGCACTTGTACTTGTTGCAGTGATGCTTGCATCTGGTAAACCAACAATAGTCAAGAAACATACCAGTCATGAGAACCCGAAGTGTTTGACCACTCGTTCAACCCTCTGGAACCTCTACAAATGTTGGCTCTGCAAACAAAGTGGCCACACAAGAAGCTTCTGCGCTACAGCCCCACACGCCCCAGCACAGCTGCACCCTGTAAACAAAGCAGGAGTCGCGGCTTGAAGCTGTGGGAGCCCGAGACGTGTATCAGTACCGGCGGCAGGTACCAGGTTGTCGTGGGTGTAGTCTGCACTGCAGTAGCAATCGTATTCCATGGTGCCCGGGAACGGTATTCAACGGCCCTTCCCAGAGACTCCCGAAGCCTGTCAAGAACTCAGAAGGAACGTTTTCACCGGGGATCCTCAATTGAGGAATTTGCTCCGCACAGTCAATGGTCAAGCCATTTTGAGGTGTTCGGGCCTTTATGGAGCAAGGCCGTGGGCTGACAAGTTTTATGCTGAGCTTCTCCGATTAAGGACATCGCCACCTACCGCGAGGCCATCATGACCTTGGAAGAGGACCTGCTTGCAAGCCTTCCAACACAAGACATGCGAGGTTGTGAGGCTTGCAATCTTGAGAATTAGGAGGCTCGGCTCGTTCGGTCATTTCCCAAGGGCTTGCACCGGTCTTCCATTCATGGCTCCATGACATGATTGTCGGGCAGAGGCGCACTGTTGCGTGGTGATGTTCCTCTACGAAGCTACATTCACCTCACCCGCACAAGACGACGATGGCTTTAAGAAGTCCTTGTAGCCTCCGTTGCCTTCGCGGTCGTAGTTGCTGTTGCTGTAGTAGCAACAATCGGGTTGTCGCTTGTATTTGCAGTTCTTGTGACGGTGGAAGTAGGACAGGAGCACCTCTGGGGGAGAGACCTCAACCACGAACATATTTGCCTTCACCCTGCATCACCATCCTCTGCTTCATCATCAACCGAGATCAACATTGGAATACATGGCCCTGATCAGCCTCCTTGTGACAACTGGTGCTAAAGAAAACTAGAGCGTGCTTCCACAAAGCATCTTTAATATTGAAGGTTCTAAGTGGGGCACACTAGTTTCTGAGACTCCCCGTGATCAGTGTAGTCGAAGCACACCAGGAGTATCCAACCACACAAATGTGAGTGCTCCTTCGCCTGCCTGCCTGCCTGATACGAACGTGTTGCCCTAAACCCCTAAACCCTAAACCCCTAAATCCTAAACCAGTCACTAAACCCTAAACCCTAAACCCCTAAACCCTAAACCCCTAAACCCTAAACCCCTAAACCCTTTGGAGGATACACATTGGAGCAAAGCCCTCGACATGATCGACGAGGCTACAGACGTGCAGAGACAAACCGGGACAGAAATGTAAATGCTGCACGCTTACCATCCGGAAACATATACATACATGTACACCTACACCGATGCACAGATACATACATACATACATACGTACACATATACGAGGGTTTTGGATTCGGGTGTCGGGTTGCGATCTGGGTCAGGGTAGTCTGAATCTGGACCCTACACCTTGAGCCCGAAACCATCCGAAACCCTAGGGCCCTAGAGCCGGGACAGAGCCCCCTCACCCCCCTGCCGTTCCGCATGAATTTTGCGGGAGATAATAGGATCCTTATTATAAGGACCCCAAAATAAGGTATCCTAATATAGTACCCTAAATAATAGGATCCTTAGGCCTACCGACACAAATCTGACCTGCTGCAGGTCCGAGCTGTGCGGCTCCACGCCGACCAGCGCACGCTCAGTGCTGCCATCGAGGTCCGTGTGGCAGGACGTCACGGTGACGGACTGGAGGGAGACAGGAGGTTTCGGGGGTTTGAGGGGTATAGGTATATTATGTAATATATGTATAGCCTATAATATATATATATATATATATAATGTATATAATACTGTATAAATATTTCATATAGTCTTCATCTACTTCGGTCCATGAATTTAGCTCCAGCCTTGAACTGCTCTCCACTGCATGGGTGTCGGATTGTGCGGAAAGCACTGCCTTATCTAGGTGCAGCTTGGGAAACTTTAGAATTTCCGTTATGGTTTCTAAAGAGGTACCTATTCATTAATACTTTTCAGGGCCCCCAAACTACAACCCAGTTATGAATGGCCCCTGCATTTTCGATCGCCGCCGGCAAAGTCCAATACTGTAAGTACGAAGACAAATGTCTGTACCTCACTGGCTACCTAACCTGAATAGGGTACAAGACCTCCTGAGCAGCCGGTCGCAGAAAGGTATACCTTGGGTATCTTGCGATCTGGCTGCTTTGTGTACCCTTAGGCTGGAGCTACAAAGTTAAGCTGGCAAGTGAATCCAGTCCCCAAAACCGAGCACCGTGGCTTTTGCTGCTTCTCGAATTGGGGATGGCAATGGCGGTGGTGATGGCGATGACGGTGTTGATGATGTTCCAAAGGCTGAGACGCATTCCGGTTCTGACAACGTAAGCCCTTGTGAGAATCGTACGATCCTACGAGCCGTGAACAGGGTCAGGATGCTCGGACAAGCAACAGCTACTTGATTCAGAAGCCATGAAGGCAATACTGGGACTAGTCACGATTAGTCATCGCAAAGTCTGCTTGCATCCGCAATGTTAAGCCTACAATGACGACGGAAGTGCCCACACAGACCTATAACCCTAGAAGCTAGACAAAAACTTGCATTAAAGAGCAGTCATGATTGAGAGTATGGTTGGGATGAAGGGGCTTGAGTGGCTTTAGAGCCGGCCCCGGAAAGGACCTTGCTCCAATGTTTGAGACCACCCCACGCCCGGATCGGAATATCGCAAACCCTAAGAATCGAAGGCCCGGCAACACTCGGATCCGAAGCACTGAAAACCTGGATCCGAGCTGGTTGTCACTTTTGCCAGTTTTGCCCTTGTGACCCTTGTGCCTTTTGTGTTTTGGGGCTACCGGCTTCCACATCGGATAGTAGAAGTAGGAGTAGGAGCTTATTCTCGAAACCCTTCGTTTGGAAAGCCCGGCCACCCAGCCCTGAACACCTGAACCCCTCACCGTTCCATCAAGACCGGAAAACCGTGAGCCTGGAAGTTAGCAACTCAAAGAGGTTTACGGTCCAGGCTTGAAACCCCATACCCCTTACACACTGCAACAAAACCTAGAAGCCCAACCCTCTGGAAGAAGTGCAGCGGAACAGTATGAATCCGAAAAGAAGCGTGGAAACTCCAAAAACCTCGAGGTTCTGCACACAGCACGACAAACTGCAGGGCACCCAGCTTCAGGCTTCGTATACTTGGGTGTATTCGGGGTCAGGATTTGAACCGGCACGGCTTCTACAAAGATCACACCATTTGGGTTACTAGCCGTGTCAAGCTCCGACGGATCTGTTTTTTCGTGCGTTGGTGCTTGCTGTGGGTGTTGGAGGTGGGATACTGGGTGCGAATGCCTTCGTACTACTTTCGAATAGAGTCCGGCCCGTTCTGTCTGTAAATATATATATATATATATATATATATATATGTGTGTGTGTGTGTGTGTATGTATATGTAATACAAGATCGCATAAAATAGCCTAATCTACTGCATTACATGTATACAAATGTGTAACAGTATATGTACACATGCAGATATAGGATATAGATATTACTATATGATAGAGGTGCCTTTGATCTATCCCGAGAAGACAGCACACAGGCCCTGGTTTTGCTCTTCCAGGAAAATGTGATTGCAGGGGCAGACAAGAATCCATGCCCAAAGCTTTTTCAGGCTATGGACGGACTGCACGGGTCTTCAGGAGTTGGGCGCTGGTGTTTCGCGCATCTGGCCTCCCTAAACGCATATTTGTGGAACGAAAGTCGAAGCGAGATTAGTATGTTATTGTTCGCTCCAGAACGGATGGTCTTTGGAGTTTCGGGTCGGCAGTGCCTTTTGTCAGGTGTGTTGTTTTGTCCGTTCTGCTCTGGTGTTGCTCCATGCAGTTCCACTTGGTTGCGTTTGGCTTTTCCTGCTCTACTTTTCACTATTTCTCCATGCATGCTTCTTCGCTCGCATCAGCTGTGTCGCTTACACTGCCTCAAGTTTCCCACGTGTTTCCATTTTGGGGCCGGTTTGTCGGGCTTTCTCGGTAGAGAAGGCCTGCGTTCCAAAGCTGAAGCATCAGCTTTTTCTCCGGCGTGAACGGCTACCTTCGAGTTCAAGCAAACCCGGGAGTTTCGGTGTTCAATGGCCCTCGCCCACGTTGCGGCGGCTCTGCAACTTCTATGCATGGCATTAGCAGATGGAGCCTTGGCTGGTCCAGCAAACGCAGCACAGTAGGCCTCAGCAGAATGTTCCCCCTAATAAAAAGAGGCCCTGCGGCTTCTACACAAAGGCCCTAAACTGTCACACCCTTGAGCCTGAGCCGTCAAGCCCTGAACCCAAAAGCCCGACACCTCAGACCCCAAGCCCTTAACCCGACAACTCCAGTGCCTAGCCTTTGCTTTGCTCCTTCGGCGGCTTCGGAACTGTGGCATCTGGAACGCAGCGTTTTGGAGCCGTTTCCATGGTTTTGTGCATAGCCCCAGGATGCCCCAGGTGTAAAACGAAACCCAGGGAGCCACCAGAAACACGGTTCAACTTGGAAGGCTGTGGAGAAGACAACAGAGTCCGCAACATCTGCTTGTCTGCTTCACTCCCCCCCGATATTGTGCATCGAAGAGCCGCAAAGAACCTAAGCACCTGAAGAAAACACAGGCTCGACGCAGGTCTGCATCAACCGGTGCAGGTGCGTCCGGTGCAAACGGTTTGAAAGCGCAGAAGGGCCACGAGAATAGGAGTTACAGGGCCAACGACATGGGGGTTTCCGAAAATAGGGGACCCTGATATAGTACCCTAAATAGTAGGATCCTGATTATAAGGACCCCTAATTAAGGTACCCCTTATGTTCGGAAACTCCCACATGTCTCAGCACTCACTGTCTCAAGGTCCATGCCTCACTGCCAACTGCAGAGACAGTTCCAACTTACGGCCAGCTCTGAGAGCCCAATTCGGTTCCAAAGCAACAAGGCACTAAGGCACTCAGACGGGAAGCCCTGGAAGCTGAAGATGCAAAGCCGGAATCCCGAGAGAACAAACTGACTTAGCCCTGGAATGGGGAGGGCTGGGCCTAGTTAGGTGGGAGGCAAGAAACCCTAGGATGTTGCGAGAGCGAAGTCTTGAAGAATCCTCACCCGTAAGGCCATAAACCTTACGACCGTAGCTCCGCCGACGCAGTCTCACAGCTTCTGCGCAGCATCCGGAGCTGCGGCATGGGTGTCAGTTGTTCCAAGCCGCTCTTAGTCGGCTGGGGCCTGGGGGCCTGGGGGGATGAAGAGCACCCAAAGCCGGGGATGTAAAGAATGACCCCTTCAAAGTTAGTTGCCATAAAACCCGGAAATTTCTTGTCGCAGCAAGGACCAGCGAGAGGCTCCGTCATCGTCTTGGGTGCTGGAACAGATGCTTGTTGTTCCAACGGCGTCGCTTGTAGGATTGGGGTGTATGCGAACGGAAGTTAGCGATGGTTTCGGTATAGTCCGATGGTTTGCACTTTGTTGGCGCTGCTTTCAATCAGAGAGCAGACGTCCAGGCCGACCATGCCCACTTTACGTTACGGCAGATAATTAGGAAACTCCTGATAGAACACACATACTTCCGTTGTCGAGGAACTCTGGTTTCGGATCAGAGAACTCTGCCACTTAGGACAGTGTAAATGGAGCCTACGCCGCGAGCTCGCCGCATGAAAGCCACAGCTGGGTGGACGAAGCCAGAGGCTACTACGTCCTCTCCCCTGCTACCGCGGGTACACAAGTGGGCCTCATAGATCCTTGGGAGTATACCAGGGGTTTCGAGGCATTTGTTCTGGACAGTAAGAGAAGCCGAGATTGTCTGCTTCCGGTCCTGGCTTGAATCCCAGGATCTCTACTACAACAAGGACAGCGGTGGCTGGAAGATCTCCGTTGATGGCCACGAGCACTACCACTCAGACTGTCTCACGGGTCCCTGGACAGTGCATCTTGGGTTATCCAAAAACGTTGTGTAGCAAAGTAGAGCCTACCCTACAGGCTCGAACGGGTAAAGTAAACCCAACGTTTGTACATGCCTTACTTCCCACCGCGGTGGCTTTCGTTTCGACTCAGCTCGACGAGTACATGCAGACGTCCCAAAATCCTAAACCGCAAAATCCCAAAAATCCCAACGACCGCAGAGGTACAACCGCGGCGCGCTGCCTCCACCGACTGTTCAGGGGCCAGGCCAGTATCCGCAGAGCTCACAGCTTATCCTTGCTTTGGGGCTGATATATAGATGACGTAATATATATATATATATATATGCACATATAACTATATTCATATATACATATGTGTATATATATATATATGTATGAACACGCATATAATACCCACGCGTACACATGTATATATATATATATACATGTGCATGCATACATACATATATATATATATATATGTATAATTATAGGTGGATGAGGGTCGGGTTCCCTAATTTGCCTGTACTCTGAGATCCCTGCATTTTCTGGACTTAGAGAGCCCCAGTCTACGCTTAGTTTGAGGGCGTTCTTTAGGGTTTAGGGTTTAGATCCCACTTGGCATCCCGTGCGATTTGTTGCAGAGGGGCCACATTATATCCCTCGGCTGAGCCTACCCGGGCCTACCCCTCAGACTCAGACTACCGAGGACCTGCTGAGGAATCCTTCGCATGATCTTAGGTGTATTTCTTCATGAAGCTCGCTAAGTCGAACTTAGCAGAATGCTTTCAAGGGCTTCTCGAAGATTTCTGAGTGCTTCCTTGGTGCGTTTATTGGGGAAATATGAATACCCAAGCTCCTACGTGACATTTGTCTACTGCTTGCTTCATCCATGCACTGGTTCAGGGAACCGGACGACCCGAACACGGAAACCGGAAACCCCCTGATTTCTTGCACCCCCCCCCCCCCAAGAACGTGTCCCAGATACTTGCAGCACCCCGGCACCTACGCTGGCACCCTCGGGGCCCACGTCGGGAAGCCTGGGCTCGGTCGTCTCCTACGCTGCGCTCGGCGTGGTCGCATCCGGCACCCTCTGAGAGGGACTGTTGATGGACAAAATGCTGCATGACCCAAATATAGTATAGTACCATAAATCCCATAGTTTAGGTATATAAGGTCATGCAGGATTTTGTCCATCAACCGGATGAGTTAAGGACCTGCTCGGAAGCACTCACAGAGGCAGTGCTGGGGAAGATCATCCTGCCCAAAAAGGTCAGTTAGGGTCTTGCGCTAGAGCCCCAGACACTGCCAGACTGCACCGAAGACATGTCTCACCATGGCGCACATGGAACCCAAAAGAAAAGAGAGAGCAATACACCGACCGCATAGCTAGATCCGGAAAGCGTAGGGTTTGGGGTTTGCAGAAAGCCCGTTTTGTTTACCAAAACTGTTGGCTTTAGAGTTCAGGCTTCAGGGTTTGGCCAGAAGACAACTCAAGATTGAAGGCTTGATGCCGCCCTGCACCCAAACTAGTACTGCTGCAGGCGATTTGGTAAGCTGGGAATCCCATATTAGGCATCGTTTCATGTCAAGCTTGCTATCTCGGGTCAATAAGTTCCAAGCCCGATAATAACTTGGCCAGAGGTCTTTGCACAAGCAGACTTACCTAGTCAACCGAACAAAACGCTCGCTGACAAGCGCAGCGTCCTGCAAGACTCCCGACATCGTGCGTAAGGTGCACATCACCAAAAGCATGCGAACCCATGTACCAGTCGCAACATTCCCACAAGGGCAGTAGTTGTTTCCAACAACTGTGTGGGATCAAAGTCAAGCCGTACAGGCGCAGAGAGTCGTAACAACTGTGAGGATGGAAACACAGATTCTCCGGACGCTTAGGGGATCTCGGGCTAGGAGGTCCACGGTCTCCAGGCGCAACCAAGACGAATACCTAGACCTAGATCCTAAGCCCTAAACCAAAACCCTAAACCCAAACTTTTTCGAAACTCAGCTTCAGGATTCAGCGGTTGCACCTTCGAGTCTCAGGGTGTTTAGGGATGGGCGCATCAAGATTTTAAGGCTCAAGCGAACGTAGAGCTTGGCGGAAGAAGCACAAGTATACCAACTTATAGTTCCAGAACCTTTCTGATATTACTCAGACCCCCTTCTTTTGCAAAGACCTTTGCAGGGTTTGGGACACCGAGGAGTTAGTGCAGGGTTGGGGTGTGCAGATGAGGCGGCCGACGTCTCCGAAGAGGGAACGTAAGCCGAAACTCTGAACTTTCGGAAAAAGCCTCGAACTATCGGCACAGGTTGAAAGACGATGATATAGCAATACTATTCCTGGGGTTTCCTTATGTTCGTATAATATACTCCATGACCCTATTCGCATTACTAAGGCCCTCTCTTAATCGCACTCCCCGAAAACCCTCAACGTGAAGCTCTGCACCTCATCTGCTGCATGCCAGCCAGATCTTGCACCTTCTGTGTGGGGGTTTCCGAAAATAGGGGACCCTAACGTGGTACCCTGAATAGTAGGATCCTTATTATATGGACCCCAAAATAAGGTACCCTTTACTGTCGGGAACTCCCGTGTAGTACTTGAGCTACCGCTTCAGCCTACCATCTGTCTCAGAAGTGACTTTGCCAAAGCCGGAGTTCAGGCCGGAGCCAAGCGTTTGGAGTCGGAGCTCTCTGTCCTACGTCTGAAGGCCTGCAATGGGGTTGATGGCCTTTGTTGTTGTGCGGTGTTATTATTTTTTCTGGTGGCGGCGGTTAAGGAGTCAAAACTTCCTGGATGAGGGTGGGATTTGGGCGGGGGGGCTTTGGGGTTCTGGCGGGATGTTCGCAACTAAACGGCGCTCTAACAGGTTAAGCCCCGGACCCCTAAACCAACACCAGACCGTGACGACAGTCATTGCCTGGTTTGTCCAAGTGAAACTGTGGTTAGTAACAATACCGTACCGTAGAGCGTATACTGTGTAGACCTGTACTGCAATGTATCCCTTTAGACTTGTCTTTTCCTTCTTAAGGCCCCTAGAGTGCCGAGGCAAGACGAAGACTCAGAGAAAAACTTGTGAAAACACGGAATCCAAGGACAAGGACGTCGAGGGCAAGACGGAAGGCCTGTCAAACAGGTGCGGTCAGACAAGAGCATCAGCATGTCTCGAAAACTCAGAGCTTTGGAAGTGTCTTCAGGCTTCCCAGGCTTCGGGGCCCTTGAGCCTGGTAAGCCTAAGGCCCTCATAAACTCTTTCCTTCCGTGGTTCGGAGATTCGGACGCCTGGTTGTCGAAGTGCTGCAGGGTGAAAGCCTCAGTGTCTGGGGTTTTCAGGTACAGAGCACGTCGGAACCTAGCACGCTAGAAGTTGTGTGGGGCGTGTCTGACCCGAAAGGACCCCTTGCAAATTGTTCTGACGCTTCCAGCTAGATGGTCGAGGGACGTAGTTGGGTTTTGGGGTCCCATCAGATGGGTCATAGCCGTCATTCCCAAAAATGCAGGACCAGCAGCAAAGGAGGAGATCTTCTTTTAATTCTTCGAGGGGCAAACCACCCCCAGCAAACCTGTTCCGATTGTGTACATGAAGCGGTTCTGACTCCCTGTGAGAAAATACACTATGCTAACGGTTAACTTTCAAAGCCATACTCATCCCAGCGTCATGGTTGGAGAAAGATGCTATCAACCTGCAGCACATTCACCAGACCAATGGCGTTGAGGTGGGCTTCCTTCGCGGCCCGCACATTGCCAAGCACCCCAGCCTGCCTTACCATCAACACTTCAGCTCAGGGCAGAAACACCGTACGTTCTCTCGGGCCCTCGGGCATGTGGTCATGCAGTGGACCACGCAATTAATGTACTATAGGGACCTTAAGAAATACCTATACTATTTTTTTTTTGGGGGGGGGGGGCTCCTTATTGTCATTCTACTGTAATGGGCCCGAAAACCCTATTCTAACTACTAAGGCCCCTACATCAGAACGTCATCACCTCTCAACCAGGTTCAGAGCCCTAAAGCCAGAAGAGCATACTATCGGGGTTTTAATAATTTATGTTATACTATTTTTGGGGCTCCTGATTATAATAATTACAGTATGAGGTGCCCCAAAACACTATTATTCTAATCACTAAAGCCCCTGTAGGACACTAAAGTGCCCTAACAAGGCCCCCGAAACAACCAAGACCCTCATGGTACTCTTTTTTTGCGTCGGTCCGGGAGGCTTCTCCGGCAGATCGGCGGTGCTCTGAGCCCCATCTTCGGCGGGGCCTAGTCAGGGAGGGTGCCTTATAGATTGCTAGATGGGAGTTTCCGACAATAAGGGGTACCTGGTTTTGGGGTGCTTATAGTAAGGATCCTCGAATTCCTAAAGCATCCCGAAGCAGAAGCCGTTATTCCCACAGTAAACTGGGCAAGTAAGTTACTGTGAAGCCAAGCATATTAGGTATCTTTTTGAGGGGGTCCTGGTTTTAAGGGCCCTGTGTCCAAACTTGGTTTCTTGTTTCAAAGAGGTTGAGCACAGAGTGCGAATAGCTAGTGCTCGGAGTCCGAATACTTCCATCGTAACGCGGGGGGCATTTGGATCACCATGCTTTTTTACACGGTTAGGGTTTAGGGTTCCCTAAACCCTAAACCCGCTACGATCATCCACAGTTCCGATTCCGATAGAAATCCGGACAGCAAAAAAAGCCCTGACGTGGCCCTGGCGGCGGCCTCCGGAGGGCCCTTTCCCAGAGAACCCAATACCCCTTAATTAAGGAAGATACCTTCAATCATAATATTAAGACCCATATGATTTAAGGCATATCCCTTAATTAAGGAATATACCTTAAATCATAGTAGGATCCCTAACATTATGCTTGAAGGTATATTCCTTAGTTAAGGTGTATTGGGTTCTCTGGGTTTCCTCCGGCCGACCTGACCCTCGCCGGGTTTTAAGGGCCGAGCCTTTCTTTCAATGCCCTCAAGGGCAGCCTTCTGAAGGTGTCGGGAGAACAGCTTAGCTTACTTGGAGGATCATGAGACTTAGTAAGGAAGGTTATAAGTCCCCTCAATTGGGGTTATAAGCATAGTTACCTTAGTCATAACCCTACTTACTAAGTCCCATGATCCTTTAAGTAGCGTAGCTGAAAAGGAAGCCCTTCCCTTCCCTTGAGGTGTACATGGAGATATGTACTTGTTTTGGGATTAACCTTTTAGGAAGACTGCAGAATAGATCATGGTTGAAGTTTTACTTTGTCTTGGGAGCCCGGTGACTGGGACACAGAAGCGCAGCTAAGTCTTCCAGGTTTGCCTCTATGCTGGTCGGTTGTGCAAGCGCTTAGCAACATCATCATCCCCTCCGCGCAAGAACCACCCTAAACCCTAAACCCCGTTATTCTATTCGGGGTTTCTTGGACGGGATGTTGTAGGATGTCAGGGCCTGGATTACGCAGGGCCTCTCGGACGATGTTCGGGCGTGGGCGAGGGTGTTCACGGAGTACCATGCGGCTCGAGCTTTTCGCAGAGCAGTGCAGTTGGATGGCTTGTTGTGCACTCTAGATGTTAGGGTTGCTTATGATGAGGGATCCCAGGGGTCCGGATCCCTTTTGCTACAAATCCCATGCGAGGCTTTGCGAGGTTGGTTGCACACACACACACACACCTGGCTCAAGCTAAGCCCATCTTCCAAGAAAGGGCGGCCCGGCCAGGCTTGGGTCTCTTCAAACCCTTGGCTCCTCATTGCAGCAGAGAAAAGCGGACGACATCGCCACATTGAGCAGTGACAGGTTGTTGGTTAGGATTCGGTGTGTGAAGAACTACATGTCCTTCCTGTGCTAGCCGGATTGTATAAGGCCTCGAGATTGCAGTTTCCCTAGTTCCGCCTGCATATTTGAGAAAGGGGTGAAGCCCTCAACAGAATGCAAGAACAGCGAAGAACTACTGCAGCTTGATGCACCGAGTGCCGGTGGTGATATGTTGAACACATCAGGGCTGTCCTTAGATTGGATCCGGCAGCATGTGGTGGAAGGTACCCCCCCCCCCCAGTGTGCGCCAGCAGACCAGCTGCAAGGGTGGAAGAGCGCAAGGGAGCATTATATCAAACTCCATCTATTAATCTAAACTCTAAATCTTACCGTCACACATCCCATGAGCAGGCTCCGGTCGTGTGGGGTTTTGTTTGCGGCGCGAGGTCCCATGCATGCAGTGCAGCGACTCGCCAGCATGCTCAAAGCAAGGAATGAAGGCGGACGACATAGCACAAACAAGGTACAGCGGGTACTTGGTGAATATTTGCACCGCCACATCATATAGCCACGGTGCATCTAGAAGAAATGAAGCTCTCTGACTTGTGAGGAACTACGTTTTGGCAACTCATGCAGAAGCAACGCCCACTGAGATGCATACAGCAACTCAAAGAACAGGAGCAGCAACAATTTACCGCAAGATAAGTAAATGAAGGATACTTTCATCGACTACGCTATGCTATGACGTGGAAGCCAACCCTAAACCCTAAACCCTACATTGGAGGCCCCGTGAAAGCTACCTCGAGCCCAACTCCCAAGCCCTAAAACTCAATCCGCAATCGTTTCCAGAACCCGAAAAGCCGAAAGCCAGTACAAACCCGACACCGAAGATCCAACTGCTGGAAGCAAGGCGCTCTTTGCGCCTTAAAGTTACCATGTAGCTCCGGCTCTGAAGCAAACCTCGGAGGATGATTTTGTTTCGAAGTTATGACAAAGCTGCAAGCCTGCCATAGCACGGTTTCCTACCACTTGCGATGTCATGCTGCGAGTGCTTCAGTGGCCTCTTCGAGCCACTCTGCTTGAAGGGTCTTCAGGGCTTCGGTTCGGGCCTCCAAAAGGGCGAGGCTTTGGGGCTGCGTATGGGGGGTTTAGGGTTTAGGGTTTAGGGGTTTCGGGATTTTGGGGTGTCAGGGTGTTCTGGTTTGGGTCTTCAGCTTTCGGCCATAGGAAAGGAGTCCCGCAAGTAGGTTGAGGAGCTCAGGATACCCTAAACTCATTAAGCCCAACTTGTTGGTGCTCTGAGCTTGGACAATTGAATTCGTTTGGGCATTTGGCAATCTACCCCTGCCTCGGGTGTGTCCATATGTGTATGTCCAATTCTCTTTAACATTCGTGAGATGCGCTGACACTGGCGCAGCGGCGATGAGGGATCTAGACTGTCTAAACCGCTTAAACCTCAAAAACCTTTGAAAGGATTGGCCTGCGTGGCTGTACTTTCACTCCCTTGCTCCCAGCACCAGTCAGCACACGTCTGGGCTTCCTAACTGTCGTGACTCTGAGGCAGTCCACGAGCGAGACAGACTCAGTCCCGGCCTGGGCCGTCATCATCCGACGAAGGGACGTGAAAGGCGTGGCTCTTAAGGTTGGCTGAGGGACTTCAGGGGCCCTTAGGGGCTAGGATTCCCAGTGTGTGGGGGGGCTTATGGGGTTTGAGGGCTCCGGGTGTGGCTTGCCTTTGGGGTTTAGGTCGGGCGTTCAGTTCAGGTGTTTAGAGTGAGTTTGGCTTGGGGATAAGTATTACGGGGTGGGGGGGTGCTCCCTGCTTCATGGGGGTGCCATGTCTTGCCCAGACAAGCCTTGGACTGACGGGTTGTGGGGCCAGCAGCTACAAAGAATCGCAAAAGCTTGAAACGAAGGTGTGCTGTGCATTTCAGGATTTGACTGTAGAGTTGCGCTGCCAAGCATTCACCAAGCTCCGGGTTGAAGAAGGGAACACTAGCACTAGCACCGTCCTTTCTGCAAGCAGGTGCGGTGAGGTGGTCCCAGAACGTACAAGCTCCGCCGCCGTTGCACCAGGACCGGCTGGGGAATCTGTGAAAGTAGCACGAAAACCCACCCGCGCAACCATTGTGGTGACACCAGGAGTTTTGAAATGCGAGTCATCAAAATCCTACATACCCCCCCCCCCTGGACCACAGGCTCGCCCAAGCCAGAAACTTTCTAAAGCCTTTGGCAGGCCTTGGTTTCTGCAGCAGCCAATGCAAATCCGAGCCCGGGTGGCAACATTGAAGACGTAGATGTTTCGGGAGGGGCAGTTAGCATTTTTAGGGCTGAGGGATGTTAGGGTTTTGTGGCTCCTGGGATCATGCATGGACAGCTGGTGGAGTACGAGTCACGCAGGTCTTCGGCCCTGCAAGACGCGCCCGCCATGCTGGACTCTGGAAGAAGCGCACGCCTGGCGTGCAGAACCGGACTGCATCGCCATAAACGACCTAGACGAACCTTCTGCGGCCGCGGCAACTGCGGGTGCGAGCTTTGCAGCCCGGAAGTGAATGAGGAAGGTGCCACGAGTGCTACAACGTTTGCGCCGGAGGACGCTTATGGGAATATCTCCACGGCGCTTTAAGCTCTTCATCCCTAGAGAACAAGTTTCCTCGGCTACGGCTTATGACAAGGGCAGCAAAATGAGCAAGAATGACCCAAAATCCCCAACCCCTGATACTGCCATAAAGGATGGCAGTTTTGACGGCCAGCCTTGGTTGTAAACATACCATAAGCCCCCCAAAGCGCACAGAAATATAAGAAGTGCAAAGCCTGCACCCTGAGATGCTATGTTTGTCTGACCTTTCGCGGCCTGCATACTGCCACAAACCAGACATGTAACAGAACCATGATGATAGACAGAACCGTGAGCTCGAAGATCATGACAACGGGTACTTGAAGGATCATGGGACTTAGTAAGTAGGGTTATAATTAAGGTAACTATACTTATAACCCCCAATTAAGGGGCTTATAACCTTACTTACTAAGTCCCATGATCCTCTAAGTAGTTGCAGTCAACCTCCAGAGTCCTCGAGAAGGAACAGCTGTGATCATGGCAGTCATACACACGAGGGGGGTTTCCGAAAATTTGGGGTGCCTTATTTTGGGGGTCATTATAATAAGGATCCTGCTATTTAGGGTACTATATTAGGGTCAATTATTTTGGGACACCCCCACGAAGACACCAGACTTCGCAACAGCAGTGCTTGGAGAACGAGCAGGAGCTTTGGCAGCAGCAACGATCGGAATGGGTAGAGCAGGGATGCTAGCAAACTCAGACCGTAACACCCTACACCTTAAGCAGAGTATTAAGTAAGACAAACAAAGCACAAACGACGACCCCAGACAGTAAAGCTTAAACCCAAAAGGCAGTGATCAAATAAGACCTGAAGCTCTAAGCCCAAAAGCGGCCTAAACAGTACCAGAGCCCCTCGTCCTTGCGTGTCAGGCGGGGGACCGAAAACAATACTAAGATAAGGGGTTGTTTGATTTCGGTAGTGCCATCTATCCCTTCGGGCTCCTGCATGTGATCTGTCGAACTCCGGTATGGGAAACCCCCCAAACCCCAGTCAAAGTATTCAAGCTTCCCAGATGGGAGTTTCCGAAAATAGGGGTCCCGAAGGCAGGTAGGTAGGCAGGTAGGTAGGTAGGTAGGCAGGTAGGTGGGTTGGTAGGTGGGTAGGTAGGTAGGTAGGTAGGTAGGTAGGTAGGTAGGGAGGCAATAGTACCCTAAATAGTAGGACCCTTATTATAAGGACCCCAACATAAGGTACCCCTTGTTGTCGGAAACCCCCAGATGACCGCGCCGAGGAACCTACAACACCGAGGATCTCTCGCGTTAAACGAAGCTGCAGCTTGGCGGAGCTCAGGGAGAGTTCTGGGATTCTTGCTTAGGTGGGCCGCAGGGCTTCAGGGTGTTCGGCGTCTCAGGTTTCAGAACGGTAGATCCTGGGGACTGCCGTGTTCGGAGTGCTCTATTAATAAGGCTTTCGATGGGGTTCAGCGAAAGCATAAAGTCAGACAAGCGAACCCGTCGAATTTAAGGATACAAGTTGTCGGTGCACGACTCCACGAACTGTTCTTCTGCAAAAAAACTACTTTTGCCGCAGGAAAGCCGCAGCAGGAACCACAGCAATACCATAACCGAGATGTATACGAAAACGATTCATAGGGTGTGTGGGTGTGTGTGTGTGTGTTGCCCAGAGACTAACCAGCAGCGGTTGATGGTAGAACTTGCAACAGCATCCCCACTCGGCAGATCTGGTCCGATTCCTTCAGCGGAGTGGCCGACAAGCGACTGTGCACAAAAGCGGCCTCGCCGAAGCCACACGAGCCCAAAGACCAAGAACAACAAACGAGCCGAACTCAAGACCACCGTGGAAGTCCTAAGAGCACCTTGGGAGTCTGCGGTGGCGGATAGAGCTAGGCCTAGGGTTGGCGCAGCACTTGAAGAAGCAGGCCTGGAGCTTGTGGTCACGGAGCTGCCCCAAGCGAGCTTCAAATCAAAGAAAGCGAAGGCCGAGAAAGCGGCATGAAGGTTCCGAGGTAAGATGGAATCGCGAAAATGCTAGAGGTCGAGCCCCCGGACTCCGTTGTGAGAAGGTCTTGGCATCCACTGTTGGACACTTTTTTGGTTTAAAGTTTCGAAGGAGTGGCGGGCGACGTAGAAAGTGGCGCAAACAAGTTCGTCGTCACAATGTTGTTGGTGATGGTTCGTTTGATTTGGGTTTTATGCCGACGATCCATGGCCCCCTATGCTTCCGATATAGGCTGTTTGGACATACCTAAACCTAAACCATAATCCCTAAACAATTCGTCGACTGCTGCTTATTGGTGCGGACCGAAGTCGAGTTTGAGCCAAGGTTACGGGTGTCAGGTTGAGGCGTTGAGAATCTAGGATTTCAGTTTCGCATTGAATTCGGGTTTCGGGCTTCAAGAGCAGCGTCGGAGATTGAGGCATTGGGGTTGAGGGTTCCTTTGGGTTTGTGGCATATGGGTGGGGGGCCGAGGTTTGGCTCTGGGCCTGGCAGTAGGAAGCCTCAAATTGAGGTTGATGGGTCTACATGAAGCCGATGGAAACTTGCCAAGGCCAGAACACAGAGCATACTAAACTTGCAACCTATCTAGACACATGGGTGGTTGTCAAAATTATGGTCCCTTTTTGGGCCCTGATTATAATACGGCACCTATTATTTAGGGTACCCCAAAAGGGACCATAATTTTGACAACCACCCACATGAAGACACTCAGAGCCGAATTGGTTCAACACGGTTAGTGTAGCACCAGCTAGGAGTAGCAGCCTTCTTGTCAGGTTTCCTGCCTGTGATGATAAGCATCTCCTAGAACGGGTCACCGCAAGTAAGAAGCCCTTGGACTGGACGAAGGAAAATTTGCTGGGGGCTGGGGTCGAGGATTGAGGGGCGCCTTACCATGAAAAGAAGTTGGGACTGAGAGGCCAACCGGAGTTGTTTTCCGATGTTCTTGCTGCAAGTATCGGAGCCTCTTTTTAAATCTTGTGTACTCTGCAACAGAGGCCCCCCGGCGCTAAGGATCGTAAACCCCGAAGCGCCTCGAAACCATGGACCCAAGGTGAAGCTTCAGTCGTTAGAGCTTGTCACCTCTCTCATCGAGGCCAGGCGAATGTGATTGCCTGTGTTTTTTTATGTGCTGCTAGGGCTTCCTTGGCCACATTGAAATGTTCCTCAGTAGCCTTGCCGTAGTCACTCGCGACGGAGGTAGTAGCCGCGCTAGCATTAGAAGATGTATAATATAGGCATAATCATATTCATATTCATGTTCATGATAGAACACATATCATCTTTGCATGGTATAAGGCCTAGGATATACAATGGTAAATATGTGCTAGAAGAAGTGTAGTGTATGATATATGGTTCAGTACATGACACATGATATGTCAATGAGTTATGACTTGAGGTATATGATATCATACGTATGTGTATCTATGATCATGGTACGGCCTCCCCCCTCCCCCCCAATGGTTGCTACCCCCCGCCCCCCTCTGTGGTGGGCTGTGTGTCGGGTTGTGTACTTGGGCTGCGGGTCTCACCATCATCAACACCGTCATCATCATCATCATCATCATCATCATCATCTACTGTTCCTTTCTTGGGTCAACTGTCACCTGAACCGGGCGTTTCAGGAACGCGATACTCGTGACAGATCCAAGTTTAGCACCCTCATGTCGGAGCCATGATTGGAAAGTGTCCACTGTCACCAGGATCGGGTGTGTTTGGGACGAGATCCTCGTGACAGCTGACGATTTTGGAGCCGCCATGTGGGATGAGTGCGCACAGTCACGGGAATTCCGCATGTTTGGACCCGGGCATGCAAGGGGTGGTGATCGGCGAACCGCGGACCGGGATCGTATAGATATATATATATATATATATTTATTTATTTATTTATTTATTTATTTATTTATGTATTTATTTATTTATGTAGGGCAACATTCTTGATTTGTTTTGTGGGACATGGCCCCTAGCGGAGGCCGACGCCTCGCCAAACGAGGAGGATGCCTCAGGCGGCCATGTCCGTTTAGGGGTTGGGTTTTCGGGGCCGGGTTTGGAGCTGTAGGGCTTAAGACTTAAGAGTTGCAGTGTTTTCGGGGGTGTAGGGCTGGCTGTGCTCTCGAGTGCCGCCTGCTTTTGGGGGAGTTGGAGCATTTAGAATGGGGACCGTGCAGACAGGGCTGCTTCAATTAGGGGCCGCCAGACTGTTACATGTTCACGAAGGGGTGTGGGCTTTCTTGTCTTGCCCGAACTTAGTAGAAGGACGGTCGTAATCGTCAATGGCAACCTCCCCAACAAGCCCAGAAACCCAAAGCCCCGACAGAAAAGACGTTCATTCTTGGATGCCTAAACCCAAATTCTACAGTTTCCCAAGCTTGAGATCTTTCGACATTTTATCACGCAAATCTAAGGGGTATAGAGTTTGGGGTGGTGAACGGGAGCTTGCCAAATCTAGGAAGAGTTCGTGTTGTTTGCGATAGGCACCTTGGGTTCGCAGTGGGCAGCGAAATTGCCAAAAGGGCGTTACCCACAAACCCTTTATGACATGACGAACACTGACCTCCAGACTGAACCCTCCTCCCTCATCAGGAATCCGACTATTAAGGTCCCCAAGGAAAGATGTTTCTCGGCACCTTGGAAACCGGGTATACCGAGCCTGACCACTTGAACCCACACGCCGGAAACCTTGAAGCTGGATGTACCAGAAAAGTACAAAATGGGATTCTATGCTAGCCCCGACTGTGACGTACTTACGATCCTTCGGGAATCTGAGTCTTAGGACGCAGTGTGAGGTGAAACCGCCTTGAACTTGGCCACACAGATCGGCGATGGAAACCTCGTCAAAGCACTGAGGAGGTCGAGACGGGCAGGGAGGGTTTGGGGAATGCCGGCACGCTTGATGACTGCTCCTGTGTCTACAAATACGCCTGCCCCGAGATTTGCTGCCAAATCTCATCTGGATTGGGCTGCTGACATATGATGAAAGTGCCAAGCATCCTTCCCCAACTGATTATTCTACTGAGCCGTGCAATCTCACGTGTAAACGCGCTAAACCTAAGAACTTCTTCGGATGGATTTTGGACTCCTGGTCCCAAGAGTACCTTAAGTTATGCGTTCCTGCAAACATTCTGGGGATGCACATCTCTTCCTAAGTTGAGCTCTTGGTCGACAAATATCCGCCGACACCACCCCAAGATCCAATTTTTGCATAATCTGCCCGGCCTGGGTTTGATGCGGCAAGGGCTCAGAGCTCTAAAACCCAAACCGAAAGGGCCCGGGACCGTCAGGGATAGCCACAAGAAGAAGACCCGGGAGTTTCAAAAAGGCTTGGTCACGCTGCAGAGCTTTGGCTGGGAGTGGTGATCGGGGAAATATGGGTGGTTGTCAAAATTATGGTCCCTTTTTGGGTCCTTATTATAATACGGCACCTATTATTTAGGATACCCTAATTTTGACAACTACCCATATGTTTAGGGCTTCGGGCTTAGAGATGAGAGAAATCTGGCACGTCACAGAGATCCAGCTTCAAAAGGGGTCTCGCATCTAGGATTTGGGGTTGTTAGTGGGTTAGGCTTACGGGGGTTCTGGAATTTAGATGGACTTTGCGGGGCAGGGTTCTGTCGAGTGAATGAGGGGCTTCGGGCTTTCATGTGCGAATCGGCAGGAGCCTTGCGGCTGAGGGTTCTTGCGAAGAGACTTCCCATGATAAGGATATGGGAGGTTCCGAAAATAAGGGGTACCTTATTTTGGGGTCCTTATATTAAGGATCCTATTATTTAGGGTACTATATTAGGGTCCCCTATTTTCGGAAACCCCCATATCGAACAAGATACTGGTCACCTTGCTAGGTAATCCAGGCTTTCCCTTTAGGCTGAGAGGGATGCACCTGTTGAGGATCGAGGGCAGGTGGCTTGGCTTTGGGCTGTCCCGATAGGTGGGTAGTTGTCATAATTAGGGTCCCTTTTGGGGTATCCTAAATAATAGGTGCCGTATTATAATTAGGACCCAAAAAGGGACCATAGTTTTGACAACCACGAAGGTGAACCTTGGCCTTGCCCCGACTTGGAGTGATTGCCTGCGTGGTGGTTGTTCGTTATCGCTCAGTGGACAGAAGTTTCTTTGAAACGAACGACTTGCGCTGTGCCGTGGTACCATGGGATTCTGCGCTAATGCCCGACACTCTTACTTGAGTACTTGTTTAGGAAGCTTACAGCGGTAGCGTCGATCCTGGCCGACGACGAACGGACAGTTCCTGGCTTCAGGTGCCCTTGAAATCAAGGCTAGACTCGGCTATAGGCTGATGCTAGGCCTTCTAAGGGCACAGGTTCAACGGAATTCCGAGTGATCACGCAGAAGCACTAAAAGGTGCAAAGCCGTACAAGACTAATCTATTGCTTTATTTTGAGAGCTCGGGTAGCCGACCTGACACAGCATGAGATTAAGGAGGATAGCGCCCAACGAATCCTCAACTCGAAATAAAGCCATCGAGAAGCTGAGGAACATGCCTCTGTTTGCCAACCTTCATCTTTCGGAATTCCCACGCTTGGTGGCGGCTTGCGCCACTTCCTCAGAAGTGAGCTTAAGGCAGAGGGCTGCTTCCTGCCAAGGCATAGGAGACTTTTTCGTGTTTTGGGCTAAGAGAAACTTGGCGTCGGCTTCTTTCGTCTCTAGCTCTCAAGGATGACGGCTCCGCGGCTTCAAAACCGAGAGTCGGGGCTTCGGGACTTGGGGCTTTGTCGAGACCATGCGGAGACAGGATGTAGGGAAGAGCTCTTCCAGAGAGTGCGAACTTCCGCCCGAACGGGGAGTATGCCAATGCACCATCCTTGCTAGGACGGCTAGGATTCACACTGGGTTCTCTGGGGCACCCTCCCATGATTGAAAAAGGGCATCGAGAAGTCGAGTTAGTGCGAAACACAACGAAGAGCCTTGCAGAGAGTAGCTGAGTAGCCTGCAGCTGCAGCTTGGCACTTGTGCACCTCTGTACTCCTGCGGCCAAATAATGTGGAATTCTTAGTGCCCCTAGTGGGGTCTACTTTACTGGTGATTGCGTGCGTGAGTGAGTGGCTGCAGAAAGCAGGAGTCTCAGCTGATCGAGTCGTTGCAAGGGTATCCCTGGGCCAGCTGTTGCCGAGGAAAGCCGCACCTACAGTGAAGGCCAGCACGTGATCCCGCAGAATCAGGCCTGCGTCTCCCTCGGGGGTACAGGAGAGGGTCAGCGTCTTGTGTTATAGGGGTGCCGTCGATTGTTATAGCGTCTCATGAGGGGTGTCTGGAGCTTTATCAGGGTTTTACACATCTGCATTGAAAATATCCTGGCGCAGGGGCACAAAGGGGAGCAGCAGATGACAGTCCATACGTGAGTAGGCATGAAAACGGCATGCTGTAAAGTTACGCATGTCGAACACTATCCGCCTGGGCCTGCAACCCTGAACAACACCGAACCCGATTTGCCTAGGTCTTGAGCATGCCAGGCTCTGAGAAAGCAAGACCACATCCAGTATCGAAGAAACCTAAGCCACAAACCTTTAATCCTTAAATGTCGAACCATCAACCGAAACCACACTGAGGCCCAGTCCTAGCTGCACAGAGCACCTACATCGCAGATTTGACATTTCCCCCTCCCAAACATCACGCGTACCTCAGTATGCCAGATACCCCTTTCATGATGGCTGCTACAGGCATGTGAGTACAGCTGATACGGTGTCCTTTAACTTGCTGCGGTCAACAATACGCCATTGCCCTAAACCTAGCTATGTTTTAGGAACCCTGTGTTCGGCCTAGCAACGCAGCAGCACTAAAAGCCTACTTCGACCCCTTGTCGCCTTCCCTCCCGCACGTCCCTATGGCAAGCTGGGGTTGTGAGACTCGTGTGTGGATCCGTGCCTGATCTGTGCGATTGTGCGCATCGAAACCAACAAGCAGAACCACTTAAATCCTAAACTCCACGACCCTAAACCTTGAACCATAAACCCTAAACTCCACAACTCTAAACCCTAAACCCTAACTTCCACGACCCTTAAGCCAACAAAGCCCCAAAACGAAAAGCTACGTGACATCTCCAGCCCTGCAGAGGCGCCTCAGGAGCTCTTCTTCGTGCTGAAAGGCATGGGGGTTGAGCCCGGGTTTAGGATTTAGGGGTTCTGGGGTTTAGGGGTTCAGGGGTTTAGGGGTTCAGGGGTTTGAGGGTTTAGGTTTTAGTGTTTTGGGTTTAGAGGCAATGCTGGCAGTCATCAAGTCCGGTTTCAAAAGGGCTTTGGATTTAGGTTCTAGGGTGTAGGGTGCAGGGTTTGGGTTTCGAGATTTCGATTTTTAGAAGTGCAATTTCAAGATTTCGAAACCCCCAAAAACCAGCCCCTTCAGCCTTCCACCCTAACGTGGTTTGGCCCGGGGCCTTCGACCCTGGAAGCCCAAAACCCCGAAACACCCTTGGCCTCATACACTGCCAGTCCTGGGAAACCTTCGGGTACTCGACCCAAAACCCCCTTCAAGAAAAGCCCTCGAAAGCATAATCTCAGTAGACGTGGCAAAAGCAAAAAAAAAAAACAGACACCGAAAACTATAAGGATGCTCAAAAGCCAAAACCCAAAAATACAAAAACTACAGGAGACTCGAACGCCAAAAGCAGCCAAGAGGTCGAGCAGAGCTGATGGAGGCCGCGGACGCCCCCGAGCCCGGCAAGGCAGGCTTCAGTTGGGACGAAGGGGCTTGGAATCCCTAAATTGAGGGTTATTACATGGGAGTTTCAAACAAATAGGGGTACCTTATTTGGGGGTCCTTATAATAAGGGTCCTACTACTTGGGGTGCTATATTAAGGTCCCCTATTTTTGGCAACCCCCAAATTTAGGACCAAGAGCCCTGAAGCTATGCCTGGTTCCGTGGGCCACAGGTGACCATCCTCCCAGAGGGGGCCTACTTCGGGGAGAATGCCCTCCTAGGCGCGGGCACGGACAGCGCTTGTGATTCCGATTTCGGGCAAACGCCGTGGCAAAAGGATGTGAGCTCACAGGTGGACGGTCTAGGGTTCCGGTATTTTGCCGTGTGGTATCTTATGGTCCGTGGTCTGACCCAACTCCTAAGCCTTAGTCGCTGTTTCACTAAGCCCAAAAGCACAACAAAGGTTTTCAGGGTTAGAGTTTCGTCACGGTCGAACCCGAGAAGCTTTGTAAAGCCTCGGGCTCTTGGGCTAAGTCAGTCACCAATACAATCTGGAAACGGAAATTATCAGACCTCGGAATCCAATGCCAGAAGTCCGGGATGTGCGCCACCGGATCTTCCAGGTAAGATGCTCTGAAGATTTCAGGGCATCAGGATGGAGGGAAGGCTTAGGGAAGGGGGGGGGGGGGGGGGGCTTCAAGACAGCAAAAGGGGTGTTGAGGAAATCTTGTATTGGGAGCAGAATAGATCGGGGAAGTTTGGGCTGGCCCATATGTGGGTGAAGCCGAAACCGCTGAATCTCAAGCACGGCATTTGATAAACAATAAACACCTGACTACGAAGCAAGTGAAGTAACTAGGACACAAGGTCGTGAGCTGTCTTTCCTGAAACGTGGTCTCCAGGTTTACCATTCAGACGTTGGGTACTGAGTCAGAAGAGACCAAGACGCAAAATACAAAACCCCTCAACCGCAAGTGAAATCTGAAAGCTTAGATCCCCGCAGCCCTGATCGGGCGAACATTCTTTGTGATCTCGTCTTTCGCAGCAAGGTGGCGAGCGGGTGCTTGGCTCCGTCGTTGCCCTCACCGACCTCACGATGCAGGCGGCGGTTGCATCGGTTTCTGTGGCTTCAAATCGCCGAACACCGTCGTAAGGAGAGCCAAGGAAGCATGATAAGCAAGAATCAGCAAGGCAAGGCAGCAACTGGAGCAGGAGCCAGAACAGCCACAAGCGCATCAGCAGCAAGCCCAGTTGAGCACCAAAGAAATGGGGCTAGAGAAGGACTGGTAAGCCCCAAGCATTTTCATCGTCACCATCATCGCTATGGTCAGGCCCATATCGAAAGGACGAGCCACTGGCAATGCTGCTGATGGCACGGCGACGTGCCAGCTTCCACCTCCACAATGCTATCACTGCCAGGACCAGGCTGAACTCCTGCCTGAAGGAGGCAGCGTTTGCGATCTAATTGTCTGCCTGGCGCCTCACATCGTGGAACCGCCAAACTTTGCAATGTCAGATCCCCGTGTGTGGGCCTACCGCGGCATCATCAATTACGACGAAAGTGTCAACACCATCACAACAAGCGAAAACAAGACAAAAGTTCTAAACCTACAACACCCCTTTGAGCCGTAGTCACATTAACGACCCCTAAAGCCCTAAATGCTCTAAACCCTAACCTCCAAAGCTCTCGTTGTCGAATGTGCCAAGTTGAGCCTAAACCCTGAACCCGAAACCCTAAAACCTAAACCCTGAACCCTAAGACCTAAACCGTAAACCCTGAACCCTAAAACCTGAACCCTAAACCCTTAAACCTAAACCCCTAAACCTCTCTCCTTTGGCTGTGGCTCCCTGGACTTGGGAGGCGATGGGGTTCAAGGTTTGGCCACACGATGGGGGCCCTCAATGATTGGTAATGATAGTAATCGGGACGCGCCGCACGCGGCTCCGCAGTCCATCGAATAGAATAGAATGATAGTAATAATAATATAACAATAAGAACAACAATAAAATACTCGTTAGAATATTATTAATAATAATAATCTTCCTCAGGCCTCCTGAAGAACTGGAGCACAAACCCGAGTCAGAGAAGATTGTCAGGATTCGGCGGCTTTTAGGCGTGGTTTCGGCTTCTCCTAGAAGAGGGGCCGGAAGACCTGAATCGGTAGCAGCATGCCTCAGACCCATGAAACCTGAAGCCCATGCCTGGCATTGTCCGAGCCTGGGCGTGAGGAATCCCACGCGTAGATAGTGTTTTTGTTCCGGCTTGACTCCCTAATCAATCTGAGTGGTGGTCAAAATTAGGGTCCCTTTTTGGGGTCCTTATTATAATACGGCACCTATTATTTAGGGCACCCCAAAAAGGGACCCTAATTTTGACAACTACCCATCTAAGCAGTTAACAACATCGAAACCCCCCAGCCAAGACCTGAGTCCGATTATGACGGCTGACTGTCTTAGAGCCCACATGAGAGCCCCAAAACCTTTTTCCAGAAGCTCCATAAAAACCTCTGTCAAAACCCAATAAGACCACCTTCTTCTACTACCCTAAACCCTAAACCTTACACCCTACACCCTAAACCCTAAACCCTAAACAAACAAGAAACAAGAAAAAAAGGGGCCCAAGGAGAGCCTGAGAGAGCCAGGTCCTCAGTCCCTCGGCGCTGCGAGACCTGGGCCTGAAGAGCAGCATCCACAAGCGCCGGAAAGTGCCCCCCAAAGTCTGGAGCTTCTGGGTTTTTGGGGAATTTGAAGGTTTAGTCTTAACAAAGGTGGCCTTAATTACCAATACTATTTCGGGGGGGGGGGGGCTCCTTATTACAACTATAATAGTATAAGATACCCCAAAAACCCTTTTCAAATCATCAAGGCCCCTACTTTGGGTCATGTTTAACCTGGGTTTGGGGGCTAAGGGGCCGCGGCCGTTTTGGGGTATCTTTGCCTTACGCGTTTTCGACGAGGCCCAAACAGTCTCGTGGGGTTTGGAAGAGGCAGTTCAAATTGCAGGCATCATAGCAGTAGTAGTAGTAGTAGTAGTAGCAGTAGCAGTAGCAGTAGCATCACAACAGCCAAAGACCTAAGGCCAGCAGCACCCTAAACCCTAAAGTCCCTAAAGGAGAGACGCTGAAATCTCTGAGCTCTATACCTGTGCAGGTACACACCATGGACTCGGAGCCCTCCGAGCTCAACGAGAAGCTGCGCCAGAAGAGCCCCGAGGATCGAGCTTCCTGAGAAGAAGACAAGTCGAAAGTTTCCGAGAAAGTAAGGGGTACCTTATTTTGGGGGTCCTTATAATACGGATCCTACTATTTAGGGTACTCTATTAGGGTGCCCTATTTTCGGAAACCCCCAAGTATGACCATCTTGCGAATGGGTTTTCGGGTTTCGCAACCGGCAAACCGAGCAACACTGGCAGCAGCAGCAGCGGTTGCTGTGAGCATTTTTCCAAGAAGCAGACACCCCGAGCCTTTTGACCAGCTGACGCAGACGCAACTTGTTGGGGGGTGTAGGGCGTAGAAAAGTTCCGCACATCCCGCCTTCGATATTGCGGTAGGGTCGACGCACATTCCAGCTTTCGCGGCGTGCTTTTTCAACCCCGAAGAACCTAAAACCCCCGTCAGACTGCCCTTAACTGATATGAGATGCTTGAGATGATGCTTAAGCGGGGGGATTTGGGCTCTCAGACTCGCCTTGGGAGGAGTCGGAGCTCATCAAGTCCGCACTGAAGCAGAACGCGACCTGCCTTGCAGACTGTCGGGTTATTTAGGCGTCAGTCGTTGAAGGGTATACCTCAAGGAAGACGAGCCACACTCTCAGCAGGGCTGTTTCCAAGATGCTTGGCAAGGTAGAAGCAGAGCAATAGCAGGGCTTTCAGGGCAGAATACTTGGGCCAGAGTGTGTAAACCACTTGGAAACTGTCGGTATGACAACTGAAACCCAACAGGTGCCCATCATGCCGGAGCAATTGCATGCAGGGGTTGTAGCAGCCGTGAGAAAGGCTACCCAGGAGAAGGGTCCAGCTCTCAGTCAGGACAAACCCAGCTGTCTCAAATCCTATTCTGGTTTCTGACACCCTGTGTTCCAGAGGACTGCAGCACTCCCCGTTCGACGAGCTAGCCCGAAAGACCCTGAAAAACGCAGCCACCCTGAAGCCCCAGAGGTTTAAAAGTAGCAGACCCTGAACAGCCCTTGGCTTGGCTGTTTCCTCGATGGTTGGGCACATGAGTTGTTAAGTGTTGCCTCAAGCTTCGTGCTATAGGCCTCGCTTCTGCGCTCATGACAGATGGCTACCCCTCCTTTTGAAACGAGTGTTTATGGGGTGTCCTGTCCATTTGGGGGCTGCCGGCACCGGAACAAAGTTAGTTAGTTAGTAACAGCCCTAAAGATTGAACTACCCCGAAGCCGTCAAACCCCTGTCAGGAAAAGCTCGGACCCTTGGTGAAGCTCATGTCTGTGGCTGACCTGGACCCGAGTAGTTGAGGTCTTGTCAGATTCTCAAAAGAGGGACACAGTGGAGCTCAGGGCTTTACGCAGAAATGAGGCAGTTCAAACTCAAGTTTGTGTGTTGAGGATTTGTGGCTTTTGTTGGCACCTTGAAAACGGAAAGTTGGTCTACTGGCCTGTGAAACAGCAGGTCCTGCAGTTGGAATTTGGGGCTCACGGTCACTTGCATAGCCGGCGCCCCGAGCATTCATAAGCTCCTTTGAATGTTGAGAAAGTGGCTTGGTACTGTAACCAGCAGGGCTTAACTTCTCATTGTCCTAAGATTGAGCCCTGAGAATACCCAAGGGCTTATTGCACCCCCACAGCCACGCGCCCAATCCCAAAGTTCAGGCCCTGCTCGCCTTTAATCGTTAGCTTCTACTACTACAGTCCATGGGAGAACGCATCTCTTTGACATTTCCTCTGGTTTTTCTCTGACGCTAGACACACAAAGGGGGCCTAGGGACTGACGGGTTTAGGATTTGGGATCTTCCGAAAATTAGGGGTACCTTATTTAGGGGTCCTTATAATAGGGATCCTAGTATTTAGGGTACTATATTAGGGTCCCCTATTTTCGGAAACCCCCATTTAGAGTGAAGCCAATACCCTCGCGAAGAGGATGTCGTGACAGCAGCGGCTGTGCGCGTTGATGTCCAGCCGGAGTTCGAGGCCTCTTCGTGTTGTTTTGCGTGGATGACCTTTGATATGGGGAGTTCCGAAAATAGGGGACCCTAATAAAGTACCCTAAATAATAGGATCCCTATTATAAGGACCCCCAAATAAGGTACCCTAATTTTCTGAAACTCCCATATGAGAGACTTCAGGGATGATGCCGAAGTAGCTGAGTAGGCAAACGTTAGGAGCCTGAAGGTGCATATCGAGTGCTACTATTCAGCAACGGCTCTTCATTTTTCTTCCGAAGAACTCTGCGGATTCGGGGTTGCTTGGGTTAAAGGGTCTTTTGTTAGATTTCAACTCTTCGGTCTCTCAGGACCCCTACCAGAATATACCCCCCCAAGTAAGTCCCTAGTCTAATTCGTCTGATCCGTTTTGTTACAGTTCTTGGCCATGGAGCTCGATCGATACCATGAGCTGCGACCGAACTGAGGCTTTCATGTTCCGGTTGTGTCTGGTTGGTGAGCAGGTTCAATCCTGGGGCTTTCTTGTATCGAAGTTTCCTTGGACTGGCGTAGAAAAGGCCAAGAGGGCCGGGATCGAGTTGCCGGGGATGACCCAGACATGCGATGTCTCCGAACCACGGGCCGCGCAAACTGACTGCCCGGCATAAAGACCCTCACAGACAGCCGTCCGCGACCCCGGTGCGCACCCCCACAGACCCCATCGCAAGCCATCCCCGTCTCCACATGCATCTTGGGTGGGCACGCACATCAGGGCTCAAGCCTAAACGCCAAGCCGTGAACCATGAAGCCTCCTCATGTACAGCTCAGGATGTTTGAGCTTAAGCTTGCTCGGAAAATGATAGCGCCGTTGCTACTGTTTGCATCTTCGCCGCCATCATTATCATCATCATCACCTGCATGGACGAGGCCGGCCTAATCCTTCTAGCAACCTGAAACATCGGCCTCCACCCCGCCCCCCTCCCCCCGCCGGAAAGTTCGGCAGCACCATGAAAGTCAGATGTCTTGGCTTTGCGCCTAGGTCATTCAGCAGGGCTCTGTCAAAGCCGACCACTTTTACGTGGTTTCTGCTGGTGAGCTCACTGTCGAGAAGGACGGGCAGAAGGTGCGAGAAACATCGGGCATTCTCGTTGAGAGCCGTGAATTTGGCATTCCGAATTGCCAATTGAATTTGTGCCGAATTGTTAATTGAATTTGTGCTGTCCGTAAACTTATCACCACGGATCCTTATCGCATATGTGAGACCACTTCTGAGCCAATTCTTTCAGCAAATCTTGCCCAGTTCAAGTGTAATGCCAATGCTCTATAGCTTTATGGTTCTTATAATGTTATAGTACCATACACCCCCAAACACCATCCCAAGTAACTATGGCGACCCTATACCGGGCTGCAGAAATCAGCCGTCTTGGCGTCCTAACTGTGCATCGCACCTGCTGAAACCTAAGGTTCCTAACGAGGGTAGAGGATCGAAACATGACAGTTAGCACACAGTGCACTAGACCCCGCAGAATGCATTCGGAATGGGTGAGGTTTCCATGAACTGAAGACACACTCTACGAGTGCAGATCATCTTGCTCGTTCCGGCTTCCTAGACCTGCAGTTGCTCTGTCCTCTAGGGCTGCCTTCAAAACTGCCCTCCTAAACCTGAAACCCGAATCCCCCCAAGGTACGAAGAACTTGCGTAAACCCTGGACCCCATACTCTAGCGTCCTTGCTAAGTAGGAGGCAAAGAATACTCTAGCTGGCCCAAGCTGCGAACCCGGCCTTCAAACAAAGGTGTCCTGTAGAGTGGTTCTAGAGGTCGGTCTCCATCTTGAAGTTAGGGGCCTGGAACTTATGTCGAAACTCCGCAAAGCCCTTAACCTCATACACCCTACAGGACTTGAACTCTATCAAACTCCTGTCGTGCCATATCCGAGAGCGCCGAAGCCCAACTAGGTCTGATGGAGCCTCCCAAACCCATTGAAATACAGAAGGGACTGTCATGGGGCCTTGTTTTTTTCATGGGGCCTGGGTTTTTGCTCTCTTAAAATAACCACAAGAGATGCTAAACCCCCAACCCTAAGACCATCCTTGCCAGGCTCTGTCCGAGTCCGAGTGTGAGTGTCAAATAAAAAGACCATCCTAGGACTCGAAAAAAGGGCCTCCTTCTTAGAGTCATATGGTCTATCATACTATTCCCCAAAACCCCCAGTTTAGTTGGCCAGGCCCCTTAAAGTAACAAGGCTTCTGGGTTCAGCCCTTAAGAAACTCCCCCCCTGTAGTTTCCCTTACCCTAAACCCTAAACCCTAAACCCTAAACCCCTAAACCCTAAACCCTAAACCTTAATTTTTGGGGTTCTTGGGGCCAGGTCCGACACCTCGAGCCTGGAGGCTCCTGCGGGGAGCTGGCGCTGCTTTATCGGGCCGGAGGCTCAGACATGTCTGGGGGTTTCCGAAATAGGGGACCCCAATATAGTACCCGAAATAAATAGGATCCTTTCTATAAGGACCCCAAAATCCGGTACCCCTTATTTTCGGAAACTCCCACATGTGGGGGTTTCCGAAATAGGGGTACCTTGTTGTAAGGTCCTTACAATAAGGATCCTAGGATGTAGGATACTATACTAGGGCCCCCCTATTTTCGGAGACCCATGTGGGGTTTCAGCTTGTTTGAGGATCTTAAGGCCATTGCAAGGTCTCTTCAAAAGCTAGATTGGTATGGGGCCCCGAATAATTCGCAAAGGTCATTGTGGCAGTGTAGCAAAGAAACCCCACACCACCCATTCAGGCACCTATATTCGAGACCTTGTGGCTGGGCACAGGGGGTCTCGGGAGCCAAAACTCTGGTGGAGAGGTAACACGGAAGGTCGTAAGAGGTTGGGCTAGCAACATTTCTCAGGCCCCCTGTGGCGCCTCGGCTGTGCAGATGTGAGAGTTGAATTTAAGAGTCAAAGAGATCTTGGACTCAGCTTGCAAAGCCGTAGAGCTCCCTCTCGCAGCCACCTGCAGCATTATGGCAGCCCAGGCGCCCAGGGCTGCCACAGTGAGAGCCCTGACGGCAGCTACACTGCGGCTTGGCGTGTCTTTAAGACGAGTCCTGAAGCCATGATCCACAGGTGATGTGGTTGAAGATTTCAGGTATTGGCTTAGGGTTAGGATTTGAGATTGAAAACTTCGAGGACATGTTGATCGATTTTGCTACAACCGTATAGTAAGTCATATACTCCAAAACACTGTTCGAATCATTCAGGCCCCTTGTTGCTATGTTAGGGTAGATTTTTGCTGGTTGTTCTTGGCGGAGAGCTCAGAAGCCTCCTCGTGCAAGAATAACTAGAATATGTTTTGTGCGATTCGACTATAAGCGTTGGGACTGCAAGGAGATATTTTATGCGCTTAACACACCTGTGTAATGTTATCACGACTTGCACGGTCGAGAGTCATTTTACTTGCAGCAACCGGCTCCTTAACCGCTCCCGCCAGAATCGAAAAACATGAAAGATAACCTGATCCTAGATGCCTAGATGCCCAAGATTCGAAAGGCCCGCCAACAGCCCCCGCTTCGAACAGAGAGGTTCGCCATTCATCGGCAGGTCCCGGACTCGGGGCTCAGGGTTTAAAGCCCACTATAGGACTTGCGGTGCTCCTAGTATGAGACACGGGCCACTACTGATCGCCCACTTCTGGCTCATGAGTCGGCAGGGACCTCTGCCTATCCACGGGGGCTTGCCGTCAGCCGCTTAGGCATCCATACTTGCAGTAGCTTTAAACGCAACGTGAGCCTACAATATCCCTGGATCTTGAAAAGAAGAGAGCACTTGGGTTCCAAGGGGGCGAAGATTAGGGCCTTAGCCATTTGGGAGTGCCCAGGGTGCCCAGCTAATTGGGCAATATCTTGAGGAAGGAATAAACCCTGAGTGACTTTTGAGCTTGCGAGTACGATTCAAGGTAGATTCCTCGATATTTGGGGGTCTGTGGGCAGAGGCCCCTCGAAGGCGCAGCTGTAAGCCAGTGAAGGTTGCCGGTGCTTTGCATCTAAGATACAAAACTAAGGCTTAGCCAGAAAGCCTGAAGATCCTACATGCGAAGTTTAACGGAGTTCCGGTGCTTTCCATGAGCCCTGGCGGCTTGAGCTCTGGATGCAGACTTGTGCAACAGCTTCTGAAACCAAAGTCGTGGAAGGCGTTGTATACAGACATCTTACGCGAGCCGCCCTCCGGCAACTCCTTACATGGATCTCTCTGGACTATCGGGGAGTTTCCGAAAATAAGTGGTACCGTATTTTCGGGTCCTTATAATAAGGATNNTCCCCTATTTTTGGAAACCCCCATAGAGGTAATTCGATTTCCATGCTCCGGACACATGAACTCCTCACTCATGTTCTGAAAGTTTTCCCTGGACAGCTGTGCCCCAGCGTGAGACAGACAAGAACTCGAAGTAGAGAATCTGAGACGAATATTACAAGAGCCATTACCAACTTAAGCGTCTTATGAGCATGATGCCACCATTCCTTGAGGCTGTTCCGTACCGAGAGGCAGCTAAGATGGCACTTCTCTCCCCTGTCCTACATATCCAGAGCGAGATGCAGGAGCTGCGAGTGGTGATGCAAGCGCCACTGAAGAAGAAGCTGGAAGGCAATGGCCGTCAGGTGTCTTTTTGGCATAGCCCTGTTCAAGAGCGCCTGCTGTTTGTACTTCGGGATGTTTGGAGTCCTTTGCATTCTGAAATCACGCGTGACTATTATGGCAGTTGGCAAAAAAGGTGGAGCTCGCCAGCTCAGGTGCTCTGACTCTTTGGACCCCGAAGCGTCAAGTCCAAAATCCCCAAATTCCACATTCCTCAAACACGAAACCCTAGCCCTAAACCCTAAAC